ATTATTATTTAATTTTAAAAATTAATTTTAAATTATTTATTTATACTTATACCTGGCACGTATAATTGTACTTAGTATTATTATACAGCAACCAAACGAGTTCATAAATTCTTAAATGGTAAATTATTCAAATTATTAAAATAAGAGCGTGTGGATCTACAATTCAAATATAACGGTCAAATTCAAGTAGTATAAAATTTAAATAAAGATATCCAAATATGGCCGTTAATATATATCGATTACTTAAATAAATAAGTCACGTGTGAAAAAAAAATTTAAGAGCATCTCCATGAGTGTCCGAACCAAAGCAGAAAAAAACGTGGAAATGCATTGGGTTTTGTTTTCCTACGAGGCACGTGTTTAGGTCGGTCGTACAATTTTAAATAGGTAGGGTCCACAACACGCGTTACACAAGAACATCTCATAGGCATCTATTTTTGGCAAAAAGCTATCTTATCTAATTACCCTTTTAGCCTTTTTCTATTTATTCTTGTTGTTTGGGTTTGATAGGACCTATATGATTTAACGTTCCTGACTCTCATTATTTTTAGATTCTCCATCTTAAAATAGTAGTTCCTTTTAAAATATTTAAAGCGGTGTTTGGAAGGATTTTTAAATTGAAAAATGTTTGGGAACATTAAAAATGGAGTACTAGAAAGAGCATTAATGACGTGGCAGTGGGTCCCGTTTACTTTCTATGCCTTGTTTCTTTTCTTTTTTTCCTTTTTTTTATCATTTCCAATGCATTAGTACTATTAGTAGTGTATTTTTTAGTGATCCAAATCAATATTGTTTTAAATTATAATTTTATCTATATATTTTAATATTATATTTGGATAGAATTTTTAAATTATATTTTCACTATAAATAGAAAATTCTGTGTTAAGTGAAATTTTTTAATTTTTTTTTTAAAAAAAATTGGCTTAACCAGTCATCCTATCGATTGACCGACCAATCAATCGAAACATGCATTTTTTTTATTTATTTTTTTGCAATTGACACTTGTTTTTTTTTATATGTTTAATAAAACAATATTTTTTGATTTTTTTAAATTTTTTTATAACCTTTTAGGGCAAATTACATATACACCCCTCCAGGTTTGACAAAATTACAGATACCCCCTGAGGTTTGAGAAATTACGAATTCCCCCCTGAATGCTATATTTGCATACGAAATTAGGGGGTAATTTGTTATGAAATATAAACCTCAGGGGGTAAATTGTTATGAAAATACAAACCTCAGGGGGCGGGATGTAATTTCTGAAACCTCAGGAGGGTATCTGTAATTTAACCAAACCTAGAGGGGTGTATATGTAATTTGCCCAAGCTTTTAATAGATTTTTGAATTGTATGTTTGGTTATATGAGTTGTAAATTTTTATATCAAATATAATATATCACATCAAAAATTTCCTACTCAATTTAAAATTCTTTTCAAAATTCTTTTCAAAACTCATTCACCAAACAAATTTTTCACACTCAAATCATAATTTCAAAACTTATAAACTCAAATTACAACTCTATTCTCAAATCATATTTAGAAAACTCTACCAAATGCTACATAACTTTTTTGATAGTATAATTATTATATTTTTTAAAAATTAATTTTTTAATGTTATCTATGCATGTTTTAGAGAATATCAATTCATATTATTTTAATTCTTAATTTTTGAAATAAATTAATATTTTAGAACAGAATGAGTATTTTTAAAACACAACAAAAAACAAATGAATTTTTTATTAAATTTTAATATATTTTTTATTAAAATTAAAATTAAAATTAAAATACTTTTATTTTTTTGACACATTTTTTAGACATTTTTTTTAATCTCAATTTTGACACTCAACAGTATTCAAAAAAATTAGTGGCGAATACAGTAACACGCAATAGTCATGACCCTCTAAACTTTTGAAAAATAACACTTTTTAGCATATAAATTTGAATATTTGTAATCCTTTTAAATTTTGTATAACTTTACTTTTACTATTGAAAATTTTTATTATTTTCATACAATTTTCAGTGATTATAAAATGAATTAGTATTTTAACCACCTCAAAGTTTGGAAAAATCTTATTACTTTCATGTAATTTTAAATATAAAAAATGATTCATCCCTCGATGATGTGAAATTAATAAGATTAAAGATAAAATAAAGTGCAAAACTATTTCACATAGGACTTAGCAACGCCATATAAGGTAGAATAGAGAAGCCCTCATTTAGGGGATATAACATCTCTCTATAAATATTTACAAAATAAATTAATATTTTGATATTAAAATTTATATAATTTTACTTCAATTATTTTCAAATTTAAATAATTTTACTTTAACCTCTATTTTTGCACAATTTCTAGATCCACCATTGCCAAAACACTTGTTAGCATTTATTTTTTTTAATTACATATATTTTTACAGAGTAAGGTTTTGATTTTTGCATGTCATGCAATTTACTAACAGAGTTTGTCTCAATGCATTATTCTTTAAAAACTCAATTTGACATTAAATTTTTTTTAAATATTTTTAAAAGTCAAATTCCACCTCCAATTTTTTTAATTTTTTTTGTACAAAATCAATAATTGCGCAAAATATTTTTACTATATAATAGTCTCACACCAAATAATAGTTTCATTTTTTACTATTCCCTCTGTCCCAAAATAATAGTCATTTTTTGAGAATCTAAATCTTTTTTTTATAGTACAATTATTATACTTAAAAATTATCCTTTAATAGTATATTTTAAAAAAAATATCAATCGTCATAATTGTACCTTTTGTGTTGTTAATGAATTTAAAAGAATGACAAAATAAAAAATTCATATTATTTTAATCTTTATTTTTTGAAAAGTGACTAATATTTTAAGATAATGAAAAATAAAATAAGACAAATATTTTGAGATGGAGAGAGTATATAATTACACAAAATATAACAGAAAAAAATACAATTAGTGTGTTTGATTTCATTTTTCTGAATTCAATTTTTTAAAAATTAAGTTTTTTGTTTTTCATGTTTTTTTTGTTTTTAGTGAATATTTTTAAAATTTTAAGTAATTTTTTTACTTTTTTAGATGCACCTTATGTTGATGTATCTAAATAATAAAATATTTGGGAAAAAATTATTTTAAAAATTAATAAATACACCAAAATACAAAAAATATACCCAATTTTCATTTTGTGTATTTTTTGGCATTTAATGTATTGTTTAAAGATTTTTTCCACAGATATTATACTTTTTAAATGTATTTATGTTAGGTGTGCCTAAAAATTTTTATAAAAAATTATTTAAAATATGAAAAAAATTATTGAAAATATTAAAATATAAAAAATTAAATATTATTTTATGAAAATCAGAACTAAACAAACTGTAATATTAGTTTTTAATTAATTGTACAGCTTCTAAGCGACAATGGCTAGAGATGTTACTTGTGTGCTTAACCTACTTTAAATACATATTTATTAGTTATATTTGACAAGTCAATTGAGCACTCCCAAACGTTATTTATGAGGCACCCGTAAGAACATTACCAAATTACCCATGGTAATGTTAACTTTCTTTTTAATCATGAATAAAACAATTGTGATTTTTTATTTTTTTAGTTTTTGATTGAAGGCAAGTGAATCAATAATTATAGTAAAACTTATAGTAAAACTTATTCCTTTTCGACATAAATAATTATAGTAAAACTTATTATACGAATTATAGTAATTGATATCGTGTACATTTACATAATAAGTATCTCCATATTTTATCTCTTCATATCCATTCATGCTTCTCTTGTGGGCTTTATTTTGAATTCACTTTGATAACCCAAACCGTCTACTTCATAAGTTTCATAATAAAGATTATTCATACAAAAAAATTAAATTTATCAGACAATTATAAACATAAAAGCAAATTACGTTTTATTTTACAAAATGAATAATTTAAATTTACAATCTTACTTGCTATTCATTATATAAAACAAAATGTGATTTGTTCTTATATTTATAGATATCCAATAAAATTGATTTTTTACATAAATAATCTTTATTACGAATCCTACAAAGTCGACAGTTCAGATCATCGATGTGAATCCAAATTTGGACCACAATAAGAGTATGGATGAGTATAGAGATATGCAAGTATAGATATCCAATGAAATTGATTTTTTGCATAGATGACCTTTATTACAAGTCCTACAAAGTAGATGATTTGGATCATCGATGTGAGTCCGAATTTGGACACATAATAACAGACAAAAATGAACATACTCATTTTCTGTGTGTGGACTCTCAATGGCAACCTAAAAAAACAGATAGAAATGAACAAATAAAAAATAATTTGAACAGATAAAAAAAATCAATAGATAGTTTCAACAGATAAAAAATTTTGAACAAATAAATTTCAACATATAGATTTTATTTGGATAGATATTTGACCAGATAAAGAAAATTTGAATTGAAAAGACCAAAAATTAAACATATAGGTAAAAAAATTTGAACAGATAAGGAAAATTTTGGACAGATAGGAAAGAAAATTGAACAGATAGATATAAATTTGAACAGATAACTAATGAAAAATCAATAAATAAATTAAGGAGTAAAATTGAAAATAAAATATCTTTCAAAACAAATAAAAAGATTTTTCACCAAACTATTTTTCAAAAGGTGGATCTCTCATCAATAAAAAAAATCCACTGAACCTAATGTCTTATGCCCTCCTTAAATTGGATTTATCACAAATTTTTTCTTTAATTTATTTATTTTTTCATAATTTTGAAAACTTTGTCTACAAAAACTAATTGAGATCTTTTTTATTTGTAAAATAAAAAATATTTTTTTATTATGAAAATACATTATCAAGTGTCTAAAATAGACAAATAATGGGAGATTAAGAAATATTAAATTTCAACAACAATGTTGATTTTGTACTTTAAATGAGTATTAAACTAAAAGGGAAAGGGGTGTGCCCCATGTAAAAATATGACCTGCCCAAACATGTACTTTTTTTTTCTTTTTTGTATATAAAGAACGGTCTATCTATTTATTTGGTTTCTTTTCTCCTCTCTCCTCTCTCCTCTCTCCTCTCTCTCTAACCCTTTCCTGGTAAACCGAAGACTGACTTGGTTCTCCGGCATTGACTGGACTCCCAGGCAGCCCACTCCGGCAACATGACACAGTCAGATCGGTGAGCTTAGCATCACCTGATAAATTTTCCTATTTTTTCCTGTTTGGCATTCTCACTCAATTCATGCTTTTAATTGTATTAACCAAACAACCCCCAAACTAGTAGGTGAATGCTTTTTCCGGTAAACCAAACAAACAGATTTTGTGCAAATTTCATGGATTTTTGATTTCCCCTGTTTATTTCAATCTTAAAACCCATTAATTAATACCAATTAAACCCACCAAATTCACTAAGATTCACCAATTCTATTGCTTTTGTTTTCTTTCCATATGATTCTACATTTTTTTAATTTTTTTGGTTCTTTGAATCTGCTGATAAGTAAAGATAGCTGGGTCAGGGGGGATGAATTTTGTAGGTTTTGAGAATTTTGTTTTGTTCTGTTTTCTTTTGGGGGAAAATGCTTTTTGTTTTTTTGGAAATGGATTTGCTGGCATTAATTGCATGGGTGCTAATCTGATTTGTTGCCTAGAAAACATGCTTTGTTTTGATATCAGCATTTGTATCAGATAGTTATATGATGTTAAGTAGGGACTGTTTTGGTGAGAAATGTAATTGGGATGGTTTTGGCAGGGGTAGGTACATGCAATGGGGATAGGAGTGGAGGGGTTTATTGATATATCAGGAATTCGGCAAATTGGCCGAAAATTCTAGCTTTCAGGGCAAAGGTGGAGGTTTCATAGTGGAATCTCTAGATTAGGGTTCAAGCAATTGTTGAAAAGGATTCAATTTCCTGGGTTTTCGATGAATTCAGAGAGCAAAACTGGAGGTTTCATACTGGAATTTCTAAATTAGGAGCAAAGGAAGTGTTGAGAAAGATTTGATTTTTTAGTGTTCGATGAATTCAAGGATGAATTCAGGGAACAAATCTGGGGGTTTCAATCTGGAATCTCTGGATTAGGGAGCAAGGAAGTGTTGAGAAATATTCAATTTTTGGGGGTTTCAATGAATTCGAGGATGAATTCAGGGAAGGGGTTTCTGGTTCCCCCAGAAAACGAAACCCAAATTGGGGGTTCTTGGCTGCCCCTCACACCGGACAAGCCTCCTAACTTGCCAAGATCAAATGGTGTCCCGCTTGAAAGTCAAGGTAATCAAGCAGGAAGATCAAATTGGCACGAAGTACTCAGTGTTCCTGATCGACATACACAACAATTGACGAATTACAAAGGAAATGGGCAAAATTTCAATCTAATTGGATTTATGGGACAGAAAGGCAGTTCTCATAATGGGGGTTTTGATCACAATGTTGGATCCTATGCACATACCTTTGGCAACGACGCTGCAGCTTGGAATGACAATCCTTTGGCAGAACTTTTTGGAAATGGAACGTCAAATAGAAGCAATAACGCAGCAAACATGCCCACAATTCTGAATTCATACTCTCAAGTTGACAGCAGTTGGACAGAGGGGAACTTCACTAGTTTGTTGCTTGAAAGCGATAATCCTAGCCCGTGTTCAAAACACTACCAGCGGATCAATGCTGACAGCTTACAGCAGATGCCCAAGGGTAAGTTGCTCAAAGCTTTCATCAACTATGCTGATTTTGCAACCACATTTGTCATCTCTAATTGTTTTCAGCAATATTTTTATGAATTGAATCTGAAGAGAATGCAAACAGAAGTTAGAAAAATATAAATGACATTAATAACTGTACAAATTATTTCATTTTGTTCTCAACAATATCTAAAACACCTTATGTATATACACACAATATTATTGTCAAAATACCAATAATTAGGGTTTCATCAACCAATATCACCAGGGATGGAGGGAGAAGGGACTAGGAAGGGCATTTGGCCCTCCTCAATTTCTTTTAATTATACTAGTAGCTATATATTTACAAAGTGTTTTTTGTTTAACCCTTAAAATATTATAATTGTGTCCACCCTAATTTATTTGAAACCCTTTAAAAATAAATATTTATAGGCCCTTCTTGATTGGAAAAGGATTACCCACAATTTAACTTACTTGACATGTTAAGTTATTTTCAACTTTTGATATGTTACAATCACATAAGAACTCTTAATTCAAAAATTAGTCTTATTTTCTTTTTTCTGTTTTCTCTTATTTTTCTTGTTGGGGAAATTACACGCATGGTCCTTGTAGATTGTCCATTCTATCAATTTGATCATACAGTTCCAATTACATCAATTATATTCTTTAATTTTTCACATTATGTCAATTTAATACAATCACTAATGCCGATTAATAAATTGAACGTAAATTAAGTTAAAAAAAAAAAATTGTCGATTCACTCTTCTCAAATTGATAGAGGAATTGATATAAAATTTGAAATGCATAAACCATGTGTATAATTTACATGTCTACAACACTATAACAAACATTTTTTCAAACCATATTTGAAGTACAATGTGAGTTGTCACCACTAGATTGGTTGAAAATCCCATCACTTATGTTTGTTTATAATGTAGGGGGTTGAAAACTTAATGGTAAACTAAATGTAATATAAAAAACGTGGTTATTATAATATTGTTGTTTGCATTTTCATATTTGTGCAAAATATTTGTCTGCAATAAATATTTATGTATTGTGTTCACTACTAATTTAAAAAATTTGTATTTTAGTATTGTTACCGATTATTGAATTTCTTTTGTTTCAAATTTGTGATTAACAAGTGCCCCTCCTGAAGTAATTTGTTAGCTCTGCCACTAAATACCATCCTAATCCTTTTACTATTGTGAGACAATGTGCCCATTTCTGAAATGACTCCCTTAGATTAAAGAATGGCCAAATTTTACTAGTTTCCTTGTAGTGTGTAAAAACATCAGAAAAAAAACAAAATAACACAATCAATGACTAATGACTAATGAAAAAACAACTATGCAATAACTACTAGAATTGAGTTTTTACTTGTTCCCTCGTTAATGAACTCTTGTTTTCTTTATTTCCTAGTCATATATATTCAACAGTCAATGATTAATGAAAAAACTGTTTTCTTACAGATGGATTTCCTGTCCCTTTCCGGCCCAACTATAATCTAAACTCGCCACCGAGATCAGAAGCTGATGCTACATCAAGTACAACCAATTCCTTTCCATTCGCACCTGTAACACCAGATCACACAAGGCAGTTTGAAAACCACCACCATCATTCTGAAAGCTCCAGTCAAGAAAAAGATAAGCCAGAGAATTTATTGACATCTATTGGAAGTGAAGGAATTGAGAATCACAGTAATGAACTCTTGCAACATATTGTGGACTCATCATCTGCTGCTGTTTCTACAATGTTGAAGGAAAAGAACAATTCTGAGGGAGGTGATCGAGGCATAGACTTGAATGACTCACCCCAGCAGAAACCAAAAAGGAGAAAACACAGACCAAAGGTGATTGTGGAAGGCAAACCGAAAAGAACTCCACAGCCCAAAAATCCGAAGAACACCAACTCTGATAACCCATCTGGAAAGAGGAAGTATGTGCGCAAGAAGAACCTTGACGCCACAGCAACTCAAGGGACAGATGCTCCAAATGAAGTTACACTTCCTAATTTTGAATCTAATGCCAACAAGAACCCAAGTGGCAAGAGGAAGTATGTGCGCAAAAAGAGCCTTGAAGCCACAGTGACACAACAGACAGATCCTGCAAGCAAAGTTACAGGTCCTAATTTTGATTCTAAAGCAAAATCTAGCAGGAGAAAGTTGGATTTTGAGTTGGAAAACAATAAAAACAGTGAAAGCCAGGGCGAAGCAGCTATTAACCAGGTGGAAATACATCAAGAGAAACATGCATCGTTTAATTTGAATTTGGATTCTCAAGCCACCAAGTTATGCTCTGAAATCAACAGCGTTGCCAGAATGGAATCAGCTGAGATAAACGTGCAGAATGGATATACAGGTGGCAACCAGCAAGCAAGAAGTACATGTGAGATAAAGGTGCAGAACGGATATACAAGAGGAAACCAGCAAGCAGGGAGTACATGTGAGATAAACGTGCGTAATGGATATACAGGAGGGAACCAGCAAGCAAGAAGTACATGTAACCTTACCCATTACATGAATCAAATGCCAGCTGAAAGCATACCATTTCCAGAGAGGTGTGCCCCTGCAGCCCCACCAGTTGCAATCAAACAAAATGCTCTAAATGTCATTGCAAGAAGTGCAAGCATGAGAAATGCAATTCTGTACCAAACAACCGAGAAAAACAGTTACAGTCGGGAGCATCAACATTTCCAAGGAGAATCTTTAATTCAGAATGAAAGAGCTCAGTTTGACTCTTACAAGAATATCTCACAAGCAAATACTACTCATGTAAACCTTGAGGAAACCAGGCAGAAGACATGGCAGAGAATCCTTCAAATGGTAGAAAAAAAGGAGGCCAATTCCAATGAAAAAAGAGGATCAAAGAGGGAAAATTGTTATGCAATTGAGCAAACAGGTCCCTCTGGAATAAATCAGATGGCTTCGCCATTTTTTTGCCAGGAGAAATATCAGGTAGATGACCATAACAGTAACAGCCACAATTTTGGAACCAGCTGTTCGAAAATTTACAAGAAAACGAGAACAGAGAATGGATTTTACACAACCATGTGTAGCACACCTTGTGTGACAGTTAAAGACGATAGGCTCTTTCAGTTCCCGACTGCTGAGCACAATATCCAGAAGCAACTTACTGCATCTGAGCTGCATTCAACCATAGAAAGGATGGGAGAGAAAAGACCCAGCAGATCAACTCAGGTCCACAACATTACCTCCCTAGCTGTGATGACCAACTCGAACCTGCTGTCATCAACTCCACCCAAAAATTCCCCCGCATCTACTTATCAGCAAGGAATTGAAACTAACCATGCAAATATGTCAATAGAAAGGTTCAACGTGGCATCAACTTCATCCAACCCAGTCTCATCCTATACAAATAAAATGCTCTTGCAAAAGGATGCTTTGCATTATCGACAATCCTCCATGAAAGAAAGAGGTACCTGTTCAGAGAACATCAAGTCACTTAGAATCATAATGCATTTGTTTTTTTATATAAAAAAAAAATAAAAAATAAAAACTGGGTTTAGTCCCCATTGGAGGGGAATCTTGGGGGTATTGGGCACAAAACTAACCTTTGGCATAACTTGCACCAATGGGGACTAAATTAGGATTTCTTTTAATAATAATGCATAAATTTCCAAAATATCCAAAGTAATAAAGCAACTTTTTTTCTGAATGTGTGAAGCAGGCCAACGAGAGCAGCAATACTCAGTTACAATTGATGAAATCACATGCAGACTGCAAGGTCTAAATATCATTGGCAGGAGCAAGAAAACAGATGGGAATGAGCGAAATGCACTTGTTCCATACAAAGGACCTGGCACAATGGTTCCGTACGAGGGGTTTGACCCTATCAAGAAACGCAAGCCACGGCCTAAAGTGGACCTTGACCCAGAGACAAATAGAATTTGGAAACTATTAATGGGAAAGGAAGGAAGTGAAGGCACCGAAGCAGGAGACAAGGAGAAGTGGTGGGAAGAAGAACGGAAAGTATTCCGTGGACGAGCAGACTCTTTCATTGCACGCATGCATCTTGTTCAAGGTACCAAAACAAGTTCACTACACAATCGATTCTAGAACTTTCAAATCCCTTAAAAAAAAAAAAACTTGCTAGATTTCATGCTTGAAAGCCTAGGTTGGTTCCATGAGGTAGTAATTTGGTGCCCAAACATGTCAATATGGCTTGTGTATCATGCCAGGCTAACCAAGAATGAAGCCTATCAAATAATCAGTTCAAACTATACAAATACACTCACAGTAACACAATATTAGATGGGCACTACTAAAACATAAAAGCAAGATATGGATCTGAAGAGATGACCAGCTATTAACTAAAATGGCAATTATGGAACTGGCATTTAACCAGTGCATAAGTTCCAGATATAAACAAAGATAGCAAAGAGTGCTACATAAAAATGCCTAAGCAGCTTAGGCAAAGAAAATATTAAACATTTCCAGCATTTTCACCCAGCTTCACAAATCTTAAAAGAGAATAAACTACCAAAAAAACTGATTTTCCTTTTCAGATTTTGTAACTTGTCTAGTTTTGAATAGTATTCATTTAAAAGACACTGCACTAATATTATGTTTTTCTGTAATTTACTTCCAACTAGCACTTAATTATGTTTTTCTGTAATTTACTTTCAACTAGCACTTACTTTCCATAGCTACTGTGGGAAAATATCATTATTCTGTACCAATGCTGGATATAAATAAAGTCTAGGATTTTCTGTGTCAAGTGGTTATAAAGTCAAAGAAATACACTTTAGCTAAACAATACAATGTTACTCTTCACAGGAGATAGGCGCTTCTCGATGTGGAAAGGATCAGTTGTTGACTCAGTAATAGGAGTGTTCCTTACTCAGAATGTTTCAGACCATCTTTCAAGGTAAAATTCAAGTATTTAATAAATTTTAAGGTCAAGATGCCCTTGAGAAATGGACAATCTGTTTATTTTATTTCCCATTTTGTGCAGCTCTGCCTTCATGTCTCTTGCAGCAAGATTCCCCCTTTGGTCAACCACCAGTGATCAACCATGCTACCATACTGAAACAAGCATACTGGTTGAAGAACCAGCAGTTCAGATATTAGGCCCAGATGGCGCTGTTAAATGTCATGAAAAAATAGTAAGGCAACCAGTTTTCAACCAAGCACCTGTAACATACCATGAATCACCAAAGCACAGAACAGAAGATCCAACCTCAGGAACAGCAAGAACAAGTCAAGCAACTGAGCATCATAGGATAGCAAACGGAAAAGCTGGTTCATCACAAAATTCTTCTGATTCTTTTGTAATTCATGCCAATGGAGAAATCCAATCCTGCTCAGGGTCCAACTCAGAAGCTTCAACTCATGGGGGAAAATCTAACAAGATCCATGGTCCTCCATCTCTTCTACATACAAGGAGAACTGCTTCGTTCCAGATATTTCACAATCCTGTAACTGGGAGCCTGTGCTTTGATGACATGTCAACAAATTGGCATAAGCAATCAGAAGACATAGACTACAATAAGCAAATCCCAAGATTGCAAACCCACCCAATCAATTCTGACTTTTCCCACATGCAAGGAAGAATTGTGCCTCCCAGTCATTTTCAGTTGCACATGACACCAGACTTGGCAGGAAAGGAAGCTGACTGTTTTGGAATGTTGAGAGAAGAAAGCATATCTTCTTTGCCTTCAACTGATTCTGGAATTGCCAAGGGAAAAGGTGTAGACTATATGAATAGAAAGATTGGACATACTGCAGATATAATGAGTAAAAACATTGTCCAACAGAATGGAGTGCCAATGATTCCAGCACCAACAATTAACCCATACGCACTTCTAACCAACCAACCAACACACCAAAAAAGTAGCTTACAGTCAGTACCTCAAACTGGAAAGGGCCAGCTTTCTCTCAATGCTCATCAACAAGAAAGGTTTGGGCCATTTCAATTGGAAAACACATTGGTTAAAGAGCGAATAAGACAGACTGATGCAGTTGCTATGAGTCAAAGTTGTACCAGGCATCAAGCTCCTAATGACCCCAAGCGGCAAGTTTTTGATGTGGAGGAGCGAACTACTGTAGTCAATAAGCAACAATTCTTGGAGACTACAGCAATTGAAGTAAATGAAAAGGAGCAAATATATTGTACTGGTGAGACAACTCCTGGGATGAGTACAAATATGTCAAATGCAAGAAAAGGAAAGGCTGGGGATGAGAAGGGAGAATCATTTGACTGGGATAGCTTGAGAAAGCTGGTGGAACCCAATGGTAGAAGAAAGGAAAGAAACAAGGACAAAATGGACTCCCTGGACTATGAAGCATTACGATGCGCAAATGTCAATGAGATTTCTAATGCCATCAAAGAACGAGGAATGAACAACATCCTAGCTGAACGAATCAAGGTATGAAAATAAATCCTATTGTAAGAGTTGTCATACTTGCCAAGATTAGCTTCAAATGGTTACAACAGTGTAAAATTATAATAATGTTTGCATAATTATGCAGGATTTCCTTAACCGACTAGTTAGAGAACATGGCAGCATTGACCTAGAGTGGTTGAGAGATGTTCCTCCAGAGAAGGCAAAGTAAGTCATTTCATTCCACTTGTAATAATGCATAAACCTACTGTCATTTTTTAATATAAACACTGAAACATCTACTGACCATGGTGTACGACAAATGTTTGACCATGAAGAGGCTTGGCAGGAGCAATACCCCCTTCCCCACCCCATAAAAAAAAAAAAAAAAATTGTAATGATTGTGGTATGGTGCCACATGCTATAATGTGTCACATCAGGTAGTCTATTAGAACATAATGAAGACTCTCATCATTGGGTTGCATTACACCAGATAAAAAAATAAAAAGTTCATTTTCTAATATTTGTTTTTTGGAGTCCTTTTTTTCTTCCTATGATTAAATGCTTCACTCTTTTCCAGATTTTTATCATGTATGCAAGACACCTTAGCCATATTTTACTTGTTCAGCCATTTCTTCAATACTATTAGCTTTTCTGTTGCAGTAATAATTGCATATTAAAATTTTGTTTCTAAAGGAAAAAACAAAAACTAAAGCATAGTAGTTCTTTTCTTCATGAACTTAAATAAGGCTTAGTTCTACATGTTGGATATTAATATATATATACACTCACACACATAGATATGAAGCACAGTCTACTCATATTCAACACTAAACTACAAATTGTTAGGTTTAGATACCAAAAGGATGGCCTAATCAAATTAGAGACAACTTTGTGTTTAAATACACACACACACACACACACACACACACACACACAGAGGCTTATTACACTATGAAGCATGGATACTCTAAAAAAGGCTCCTTATGAGTATCAGATATGTATTGGGTGCAGATATGCATCTAATACGGCTGGATATGCCTACGGATACACATCTAATACGGCTGAATACATATTGGATACACGAAATAAGTATCCAATTTGTTTTTTTATTTCTAATTTCGGATACGGGGATGCATAATGCTAAACACCACAATTGTCACATAATACTCAAAGGGACTCATTTCTAGGGATGGCAATTTGAAACCGGCCCGACGGGGACCCGATCCCCCGACCCCGAATGTAACGGTTTTTCCCCGAAAAAAACTCCCCACGGGCCGGGGATGGTATTAAAAAATAAATCCCCGATCATTTTCGGGCCGGGGACGGTGATACCTTTTCCGGCCCCGTCCCCGTCCCCGTCCCCGTTTGCCCCGAACTGAAATTACAGTTACACCCCTCGCTATACATATGTTTCCTAATACGTAAACCTATTCTGTATGGACTGAGTTTAGTCTCACACTCTCTCTCTCTCTCTCTCTCAAACCTTCCCCTCCCTCATCCAATGTCCCTCCCTCCCTCCGATCTCCTCCATCACTCCCTTACGCCGATCTCCCTCCTTCCGAGACCTCACTGCCTCTCTCTGATGTCCATCACTGCCTCCCGCGATCTGCCTCACGCCGATCTCTCTCCCTCCCTCCCTCCGATCTCACGCCGATCTCTCTCCCTCCCTCCGATCTGCCTCACGCCGATCTTTGTGCCTCCCTCCGATCGCCGTCGTCCTCCATGCCGTTGCTTCTATCGGGTTTCCCCGACCCAGATCTGATGAAGATGAAGTTGAAGAAAATCATGTATTAGAGTTTTTATTTTTTATTTTTATGGATTGATTTTTTATGGACTGATTTTTATTTTTTATTTTTATATTGATTTCACAGTTCAGATCTGTATGGACTGATTTTTTTTTATGCTCTCACAGATCTGTTGATGATGTTGTTGTTGTTGATGAGTGTGTGAATATATGGACTGATTTCATGGATTATTTTGAAGGACTGATTTTTATTTTTTATTTTTATGGACTGATTTCACAGCTCGGATCTGTATGGACTGATTTTTTTTTTTTTTTAATTTTAGCCGGGGAATTATCGGGGTCGGGGAAACCCGATCCCCATTGGGGACGGGGACGGGGGTGGTGATAGGCTCCCCGTCGGGGATTGGGACCGGGGACGGGGAATTTTCTACCATTGGGGATCAGGGACGGGGAGGGTGATCCCCGGCCCCGCCCCGCCCCACCCCGTTGCCATTCCTACTCATTTCGAAGTTCAACAAATATTTCATTCCCATAGGACATCCTAAACACCCACATCTCCATCACTTCAACAAGTTACGGTGGAAAAGTATAATAAAACTTTTTTTCACATACTAATCTGAATTAGGGACAAGTTTAGGCTTCAACAAAATGAAAGAACATAACATACCAAACCCAAATTGCTATTCAAGTCAGATCCCAACAATAAATACCAAGTTCAACATGTTTGCTAGCTGATGAAAGTGTAATTATTTTCTTTGGTTTAACTACAAAAAGAGCTCCTGATTTCTCGGAAGGAATGCTTTCGGCGGAACCGGAGGGGCTTCGATGGGGATTGATTTTCTTGGGTGACCGCTCTTTTGAGTTTGAAAAAGGGCTGGCAAATGCGATAGGTTGACAACGAGTAGATATCGTTGAACGCGGCCAAGGGATTCACATAGCCATCAAGTTGTTAGGTGCATAGATAAAATAGGTAGCAAACCAAATGCGGAAGGCATCCAAGTTGAACACCGTTTGGGCGTTTTTGGGTCAGTTGATCCTTTATTTCTCCATTGTTCTATTGCTTCAAGACTTTGGGGGCTGGCTTGTTCTCTTGTTGGGATTATGTGGGTGCAACCAAAGGGGGTTGTGGACATGTTGTGGAGTTGGAGGGGGGTTCAGGTTGGGTGGCGTCGGCGACGGGTGTGGTCGTTGTTGCCTTTTTGTTTGATGTGGTTGGTTAGGCTGGAAAAGAACAGAACTTTCCAAGAAATTGATCATTCGATGTTGTGGTTGGAGAATCAGCTCTTAGTTACATTATATAGTTGGTTGGAGTGTAAAGTTGATCCAGATCTATTTATTTTCTTAGATTTTTTGAATGACGTAATTGGTTAGGCGAGTTTTGTTTTCCTCTTTTGGTCTTTTTGTATCCTTTGTATCATCTTGATGCTTTTTCTATAAAATTTTATTATTCATCCAAAAAAAAAAATCCTGATACGGGAAGCATCCAATACGCATCCAACTTATTTATTTTTTCCAACTTTTTTCTTTTTTCAAAGGTCAGTGCTCTCTCCCTCTCCCTGACTGTATTTCTCTCTCTTCATATTATATTGGGCTTGCTTTATCTTTGATTTATTCCCTTGCGATAAACCAATTTCTACTATGTTAGCCTTGCTACAAGGGCTACTCACTTGTGTTAATTTGAAAAAAATAAAAGATAAAATTCATTATTCGTTGTTTCGACTTTTTAATTTGTTGCTATGTTTGGGATGTTGGTTTCAAGCTAGTTTAGCCACAAAAAGACAAAATAGGCTAAAAGGCCAATAAGACAAAATGTTACATTCAAACCATAATCATTTCATTTTTTCTCTCACAAAAGTTAAAAAAGCCAAAAACCCATCCCAAACGAGGCTTTTTAGCCCCAGGCTAAAAAAGCCAAAAAGCCAACCCACATCCCAAACGAAGGCTCTATTATTGTTTTATATTGCTTTTTAATTTTGGATATTGTAACCTAGACTATTGCTGTCGCTGCTTAATTTTGTTATCGTTATTGTTCTTTAAATTTCCTAAAATATTTTATTGCATACTGTGTTGTTGTTGGTTGTTAATTTTCTGTCAATATGCCAAGTTGTTAATTGAATGCTTTTGATGCAATCTTTGATGAATATAAAATTTTCTTTTTGATATTTAAAAAATAATGCTAGATGTTTCATGAATGTACTCTTACATTTGGTTCTATGTTTATGCATACTATGCACTAAAAGTTATAAAACAATTTTATTTTTCTAACATATCCTTGACGTACCTTCTACCTTTTTAATTATTTCAGTAGCATGTCATATTCGTATTTTGTATTCGTGCTTCCTAGAGCTTACATCAGTGAATTCATTCAGTAGCCCATAAATGAACATTACACACTGTCCTTCACAAACATTACTTAATGATTTCATTGTGGCGCCCTCAGACAAATATCCAACCTCTGCCCCTGCATATAATATTGTACTAGTGGGTGTGCGTAAAATATAAATTTTAATTTTGATTTAAAAAATATATATATATATATTGTACATTGTTGAAGTGGTGAAGATGTTTTACAGATTCAATGTCATGGGTTCAAGCCCTATTCACTTCATTATATAATTTTTATTTTAAATAACTATTATAAGGGTATTTTAGGAAAACTCAAAATATGAGACACATTTATGTCAACACCACCAGCAGCCTTCACATACTAATAGTTTAGATAGATAGAAGATAATATCCATACAATTCTTCTTTTTTTTCTCTATTAATATATTTTGTTCTGCAGAGATTATCTTTTAAGTATTCGAGGATTGGGCTTAAAAAGTGTGGAGTGTGTACGGCTATTAACTCTTCATCATCTTGCTTTCCCGGTAAGATTCATGTGGAAACTACTGGTCACTAATAAACTTGACAGAGACAAAAGAAAACCATCCACTCAGTATTTTGTTTGTAGGTTGACACGAATGTTGGAAGGATAGCTGTGAGACTGGGATGGGTCCCTCTCCAACCATTACCAGAATCTCTTCAACTACATCTCCTAGAGCTGTAAGTAATGTGTGCCCTAACTAAACAATGCCGAGCTTTTTCTATAACACAAAAACAAATTGCTAATTGTGATTCCATACAGGTATCCAATGCTTGAGTCAATTCAGAAATATCTGTGGCCCAGACTCTGCAAGCTGGATCAGCGAACACTGTAATTTCAGACCTCCCTAGAACAATTAGTCTAAATATACCTTTCTCTAAATTGAAACCAAAAAATTGGTTTTTATATTCTTCTGTACATTTCACTGATTAGCACACCATGAACTACAGGTATGAGCTACATTACCAGATGATTACATTTGGAAAGGCAAGTTATCATGATATTGCCCTTGCTAAAAACATTAGTTGTGACTAATCATAAAATAACAGCACCTCACTCCTTGATTATTATACAGGTTTTCTGCACAAAGAGCAAGCCAAATTGCAATGCATGTCCAATGAGAGGAGAGTGCAGACACTTCGCAAGTGCTTTTGCAAGGTATGCATTCAATCTCTGTACAACTACTACTTTTAAGTGACCACCAGTACCCACTATAATCACCTCCATAATGTCCAAGTCCCAAGAATTTTTAGTCACTAAGTTGTATGAATATTCATAGTAACAATCTTCAAATATGTAACGGCACACATTATGATAGAAATACAAGAGAGCTATTCATCAGAAGGGGAGGGTGGTTGTCAGAGAGGCAACAAATAAATGCAACTTGTGTAATTTCATAGACACAATGACATGCACTATATGTTGGAATGTGTCCCACATTACTTAGAGTTGCCCCATCTATATTAGTTATAAGGCTACAGTTTCCCTCTCCGGGGAGGTGTGAGCTAGGCTTTTTAATTTGGTATCAGAGTTTGGTTGGGTCTGTGACTGGTATGCCATTTGTCCGGCTACTGGATGTTGTGATCCAAAAGGGTGTGTTGGAATGTGTCCTACATTGCCTGAAGTAGCCCTATCTATGCTGGTTATAAGGCTCCAGTTTCCCTCTCTTTAATACCTAGATTTTAAGAAGTGTGAGTTGGGCTTTTCAATTCTGTAAGCCAATGGCTATCCTATTACCAAGCAAATACAAGATTTTTAATGATAGGCCCAAAAAAAGCATTGAAAGCTTCATATTCATAGAGCATAAGAAATGAGCATTATTCTATGCTAAAAATACTTGTTAGGAAACCATTCACTGAACTGGTTGAGGTCACAATTTTCACCACTAAGTTAAGTTGAGACCAATAAACAAAAATTATAATATATGTTAGTTTTGCACTCAGGACACAAAATGGGTCCCTTTCTTTAGGTGCAAACAAAATGGGTCTGTTACCCTATTCTAAGAACAGAATCATTAATCATAACACAGTTCCTTAAACACACAGCAAAAGGTTTAAAAAAAATTATAAATCTTCAATAGTCAATACATGTATTCAGTTTTTAGATGCATCAGGGATAGATGGCATTTGAGGCTTTTCTGCTTGCAACATCTAGAAAAATATGTAATCACATCTATCACTGTCTAAAAACTGACAGCAGATCCTAAAAATAAGCATTTAGGTGGAGCATGAAATTGAAAAAGAAACTCCAAGTATACAGCATATGTTTGAAATTTTATTGATTAGGTATTTAGGGAAACAACAAAAGAAAGACAGTGAATCTTTTTGTCACTATTATTAATATAATCTGGTAGTATTATTAATTTATTATAAAAAATTAAAAATGATAGAAAGAAAAAGAAGAGAGATAAAATAAGTGGAGTTACCAAATCAACATGTTAATTGTTTGGCTCCTGTAACTATCAGAGACAGATGAAATAAAATAAGAGAATTTTTTGTACCTTTGTGGGGGACGTGGCCCTGCAAGCCCCTCCTTTCTATTTTATCTAATAAGAGAGAAGAGAATCCCTTGTCTAAAGAACTCCCCAGCTCTTCTCCATCTCCATCATTAGGGCACACAAGCACCCACTCACACATGGATATCTATACAGATGTGATATGGATACTTGAACTCTGTTTGGTGCAGTGCAAGACTTGCCCTCCCAGGCCCAGAAGAGAAAAGTGTAGTGAGTTCAGCTATTCCCGTTGCCACTGACAAAAGCCCTGCTGTGGCAATCAAGCCAATGCCACTACTACCAGCTGGCAGCAGTGAACCTAAAGAGATGGAGTCATTTGTGGGCACCTGTGAGCCTATTGTCGAGGAACCAACAACACCAGAACCAGAAAACACAGAAATAACAGAAAGTGACATTGAAGATGCTTTTTATGAGGATCCTGATGAAATTCCTACAATCAAACTCAACATTGAAGAGTTCACAATGAATCTGCACAACTATATGCAAGAGAATATGGATCTGCATGAAGGAGATATGTCCAAAGCCTTAGTTGCTTTGAATCGAGAAGCTGCTTCCATCCCTACACCGAAACTGAAGAATGTGAGTCGACTACGGACAGAGCACCAAGTGTAAGTAGGCATCTTCTAATTAAATCCTGACCATGACATTCAAATTCAAGTGCTGCATAACTGTATCAAATTATATTGATTAGGTTCCTGTTAGACTAGAAAAGTGTCTACAATCTGCAACTGATTCAAGTTGACTGTAGTTACCACAGCAGTTGAGCACACCATGAAATTAAAGGCCTAACCCAGAAAACAGAAACTGAGGTGTGTAACTTAGCAAGGCAGAGGCTTTGTAACCAGTAGTATCAAGTTGATTATCCTTGCTGGATTTACCAAGACATGTGGAATGCAGATCATTGTGTGTATCTATTGGGATTAGTCTAGATTAAATATGGGTCAAGGAGATCTTGGCATAACAAAGAATAATGGGCAATCGTATCACTTCAAAATTTGATGTATTAGTATACAAACCATTTGGACGTTAAACTGTTAGATATACAACTTGTTAAGATATTTTTCCCTGCACAGTTAACCCCTTCCATCCTGCTGCAGGTATGAACTTCCAGATTCACACCCTCTCCTACAAGGGGTAAGTTATTCCTCCTCTTATTTATATTTGATTTGCACATCTGCAACATAGATTCCTCCCAACTAAATGTCACCCTCTAAATTATTCAGCTGGATAAACGAGAACCTGATGATCCAAGCCCATACCTTCTTGCTATATGGACACCAGGTAAGCACATGATATATACCTGAAATTGTATCTCTGTACAACCTAAGCTGTTCCACAATATACCATCATGAAGAAGCTCAATCATAATACATCTACAATAGCATAATCTAGTGCACAAAAATAAAATATGGTATCTAACATAAACAACCCAAGTGACACTGATAAAATTGATCCAACCATATGTAACATCTAACTTTTTAAATATTAATGCTATTATTATCTTGTAACTGATAACTATTTACATCTACTTGGGCATCATTCATACCAGGTGAAACAGCAAATTCAGTTCAACCACCTGAAAGAAGTTGTGCCTCTCAAGAATCAGGCAAACTGTGCAACGAAAAAACATGTTTCTCATGCAGTAGTGTGAGAGAAGCAAATTCACAGACAGTCAGAGGGACCATTTTGGTGAGGAAATCCAAACCTAGGATACATGACACCTTCATCACTGCTAAAATACATTCAAGGCTACTAGGAGTTGTTTACTAATATTTACTACATGTACAGATACCATGTCGAACAGCAATGAGAGGGAGTTTTCCACTCAACGGTACATACTTCCAAGTTAATGAGGTAATCTACTTTTTGCTATCTGATTACTCACATTTTTACTAGTAGTCATTGTTTGTATGGCAGTACTACCACTTCAGATTAGAAATGCAGCAGCTTTATAACCTCACCACCAAAAAAACAAAGAGATTTTGAAATTTTGTTGAACCTGGAAGTCTAGCTTATTTAGCCTTCTACTTTGCCAAAGTTACATCAAACCCAATGTTTTAAAAGGCTCTAGGCGCACCAAGGCAATAAGGTCTCCTATAGCCTAGGCGCGAGGCAAGTCACACGCCTCACCAAAGCGAAGTGCAAGTAGTAGAAGAAATGCAAAATTATAAAATAAGCAAACTTTTCAACATAACAAATATATATAGAATTTCAAAAATCATAACCATTTTCGATAATCTTTAAACATAACATTAAATCTTCTAAAAACTAGAATTATAATATCCAACAAAAGATATAAAGCATAAGATTCAATCTTTTATCATTTTCTGCTCTCTTTTGACCACGTTTGGTCATTTCATATTGAAGAGTTTTGAATCCCTGTGGGTATGCCCACAAAAAAAGCACTTAATCAACAGTTGGAGTAGAAAAATAGGTAAAGCCTATGTCTCGCGCCTCGAAAAAAAACCCTCGCCTCAACACCTAAGTCGCGCTTTGCATATTGCACCTCACCTTGACCTGTTCGAAGCGCAAGGCTGCGCCTCATGCACCTTAGGCACACGCCTTTTAAAACGTTGATCAAACCCATGTTGAGATAAGGCATTCGTTTTTTATCAAATCATATTATAATATAATGCCCCCATTGCAGATGTTTGCAGATCATGAATCCAGTCTTAATCCAATTGATGTTCCAAGGGCATGGATATGGAATTTGCCTAGACGAACAGTGTACTTTGGGACCTCCGTAACATCAATTTTTAAAGGTAAATATAATTTTTGGCATAAAAATTAAATACATCAGTATTGCAAGCACCAACTTTACAAAATGAATGCTGTTCTTTGCCAGGCCTGCCAACAGAGGGAATTCAATACTGCTTCTGGAGAGGTATGGAATGCTATCTTAGACTTTTTGTATTACCTATGACTACTTTACTTGAAAGCAATAATCAATTGACAGATGATGACCTTAAAAAGTTAAACGTTAAAGCAATACAATAACCTGAAGAAGCAATTATGATGTACATGTTCATTACTGCATTGTATCTTCCCCTTTCAACTACTCAGTACTTCATAGTTATTTACCATTACTCATCAGCCAAGTGGCAAGAAGTAAAACAAAAAAGACTATGTCTATCAGACAAACATTAACATTTGCTAATTATGATAGATTATCTAAATATGCACTATTGAACAAGAGGTGCTTTTAACTTCAGTGCAGATGGTATGTAATTCTTGCCTGTTGCCTTGTTCAAAATCAATTTTGAATTAGACATGCAAAAAAATTGGATAAAGGATTAACTAAGACAGTGTTATGAACTGGGGAAGAGAGGTAGAGTCAGCTGAAAAATTACATATATATATCACCATTTTGAAATTTGTATGAAATTGTACACTTGATGAAAAATACTACTACTCACATTAATATATTTATGTAGAACGTAGATAGCACCCACATGATGTGGAGTGCTCTTGCATTTAGTGATTGAATGCATGCATTGATTATCTTGTGCACATAAAATCAAATTGAAGTCTGCAATCGTCACAAGATGATCCATAAAGAGAGAGAGAGAGAGAGAGAGAGAGAGAGGACAACAGCAGGGAGCACTATCCTACTGTTAGGGAGCCTGAAAATTATATATGAAGCAAAAGGCTCTAGTTATATGGCAGCGAGCAATCATTATGTAGCTGGAAAAGTGGTAACATTACATTGGCCTTTTAGGGTTGGGTTTTTGGAATAAAAGTAATGTTTAAGTGGCTGTTTCGGGGGTTCTTCTTTTTGAGGTGAACAATACAGTAGATACTGGTTTGGTATTCCTTTTTTTTTTTTTAATCTCATGGTCATAATGATCAAACATCATGCAGTAACTATCAAAACAGCAATCCAACTGCACCCAGTTTTTTACTTGTAGACATGTTGCTCACTTTCTACAAATCAAACCACAACATAAACTAGCAAGCCAAAAAATATACCTTTCCAAAACGGTGACTAAACCTAAATATAAAAGAAGGTTGTCAATAGAGATAAAGAAAATTCCAACGTACATCATTTAAAGATACAGTACTCATGTGGAATGAATTTTATTCAGTCATGCTTTACTTGCTAATATTTTTTTATTTTGTTGTGCAGGATTTGTCTGTGTAAGGGGATTTGACCAAAAAACAAGGGCACCTCGACCTCTCATGGCTAGACTGCACTTCCCCGCAAGCAAGTTGATCAAGACAAGAAATGAAGGCGATTAAAAAGATGCCCATAATGCAGAGGAGTACCAATTTATGGTGCTAACCAAGTCTATCAGTACAGGGAGAAAAATTGATTGCTAAACATGGAAACAGATCAATGACTAACATATTGTTGTACATTCAATTGTTCCTGCTCTAACATGAGATGCATTTTACATGCAATTCAGGCGGCACAAAAAAATTTTCAAATTATTTGATGAGATCCCCTGACAATTAGGCATTAGTCTGTACATGACTCATTGTAATTGTTTCAATTCAATGCTTGAAAATGAGCATTGTTCAAAGATTAGCACAACGCAGAATAAGACGGAGGAGAAAAATGTAGCTTGTGAAGTTGATACTTATTCTCATTCATTGTATATATGTGCAAGCAAATAGAAATCACATGAGTTATGCGAAGACAATGTTGCATGCATCACATTGTTTATTTTTGATAATATATGCCAAGGCTGCTGATACAAGCCATCCATGTCTTCCTAAAGATGAGTCCCAAAATAAGTGTTCCAAAGATTGTCTAGGGCCTGCATCCTACATTCTAGCAGGGGTCACCAAAGTTACGTCCATGATGATTTCACTGCAGCCCCAAAACAAGCATGTAAAAGTATTGCACAATCTTATAATGAACTAAAAGACCATATAAGTTTCAACAACTTATTAATTTCCTCTTCTACTGGTTGTATCCACTCTGCCTAGGAACATGCAGCAATGACGGGCACAAATTGAATCTGAATTTTATTACTGAACTAAAACCAAGTTCAATGAAAAGTAAATTTAATGATATGATACAATAATTAGTTCAAAGAAAACTAACTTTGGTATGATACAATAATAGACTGAAAGAGCAGTTAAATAATAGACTGAGAGAGCAGTTAAATAATAGACCGAAAGAACAAACCAATCACTCGTAGCAAATCTATTCCTTCTTAAAAGTACAGGATTATATTAAAGTTGCACTATAACAATGACATTTAATTGACAGAGTGGAAGAAAAATTAACCATTCATAGCAAATCCATTCCGTCTTGGAAGTGGGAAGTGCATGATTATGCTACATAGTATATGTTAAGCAGTTCTGCTAATTATTTTGGCATATGCTATATGAATTCTTCAAAATGTATGAGTACCCGTGTCGGACACTCAACACTAGGATGCAGTCAATCCATTTTTAAGTCAACACTACTAATAATGCACTCAATAAGCCATGTGCTTTCAGCAAGCCTAAAAAAATTCAAACTTGAGACATCTAGCTCATAAGCAATTATATTTGCCAAACAATTATACACGGCGTGTTTTGAAGGGCTCTAGGAGCACCGAGGCGATAAGGTCTCCTCTAGCCTAAGCACAAGTAGTAAAAGAAAAGCAAAATTATAAAACAGGCAAACTTTTCAACATAAAAAATATATATAGAATTCTAAAAACCATAAAGAAAGCTTCGCAAGTATAACAGAGAAGAAAAAACAGAGAGATAACCCAACGAAGCAGGAGAATAAGAGAAGAATAAAATAAGAAAAGAAGAAGAGAAGAAAAATAAGGGGGGAAAAAAACCAGAGGTAGAACCATGAAGAGAACCAATCGAAGAAGAGAAGAAAAATAAAGGAAGAAAAAACAGAGGCAAAGAGATAACCCAACCAAGAGAACCCATCAAAAAAGAGAATAAGAGAAAGAGAACCACCGAAGAAGAAGAGAAGAGAAGAAACTGATGAAGAAGCCGAAGTCGTGTCGTCTTCTCACTTAGAAATAGAGAATTAGAATTGATGTATTATTTATTGATATATGTTGTTGTGTATATTACAAATGGTGAGTGGCTCATTATATAGGAGAGGGTGAGTGTAGTAGGTGAGGAGTAGGTGGTGGTAGGTGATGGTAAATTGGTGGTAGGTGATGGTAAATTTTAACACCCATCGAAAAAGAGAATAAGAGAAAGAGAACCACCGAAGAAGAAGAGAAGAGAAGAAACTGATGAAGAAGCCGAAGTCGAGTCGTCTTCTCACTTTCTGATTGCTTTTTTTAATCTTCTCCACCTAGGGTTTTTTTTAATCACTTTCTGCGCTCTTTTGATCACATTTGATCATTCTATATCGAAGAATTTTGATTCCATATGGGTATGCCCACAAAAAAAGCACTTAATCATTAGTTGGAGTAGAAAAATAGATAAAGCCCATGAAACAAGCGTCTCGCGCCTCAAAAAAAAAAGCCCTTGCCTGAGCGCCTTACGTATTGCGCCTTGCCTTGATCTGTTTGAAGCACAAGGCTTGTAAGGTCCCGGTGTCCCATATCGGGAATGGAGGGGGAGTTCCTAGGCTATAAAAGTAAAAACCTAGACCCTTATATAGTATCGAGGCCTTTTTTCGAGTGGTGAGATCCCTAGCAGAACTCTCCAGTTAAGCGTGCTTAGGCTGGAGTAGTTCTGAGATGAGTGACCCACTGGGAAGAACAAATCCGAGCGGGCGTAGCCCAAAGCGAACAATATCAATGACGTGTAAGGGTTGGGGCGTTACAAATGATATCAGAACCGACCCTCCGAAATACCGAATGTCAGCCCCTGGCACCTCTCGGTGCAGAAGGATGGGCTTGCGAGCTGGCAAGCTACTGCACGGGGACGTGCAACCTTAAGGGGAGTGGATTGTAAGGTCCCGGTGTCCCACATCGGGAATAAAATGAGAATTTCTGGGCTATAAAAGTAAAAACCTAGACCCTTATATAGCATCGAGGCCTTTTCCCGGGTGGTGAGATCCCTAGCAGAACTCCCCAATTAAGCGTGCTTAGGCTGGAGTAGTTCTGGGATAGGTGGCCCACTGGGAAGAACAAATCCGTGTGGGCGTGGCCCAAAGCGGACAATATCGATAACGTGTGAAAGGTTGGGGCGTTACAAGGCTACCCCCTCGTTGCTTCTCGCGCTTAGGAGCGCGCCTAAGTGTGCCTTTTAAAACATTGGCACAGAGGTTACCCTTAAGCTTAACTTTGTCTAACTAGTTAAACTTTTCATGGTTTAATTCAAGTAAGCAAAATGCCTTATATATTATAAAAATAATTGAGCTTGTTAATCCCAAGAGGTTGATATGGTGGCAAGGCCTTGGGTCTTAAGGGTGTGCTCCCTCCAAGATTGGGGGATTGAAACCTTTTAGGCACTAACAATTCTTTGGAGCCATCGGACTGGGGGAAACCCTTGACCCAGACACCCTAGTGCCTATCAAACAAAAAAAAAAAAAAAGGGAATTGAGCCTGTTGCACTCCAATGTTAATAATGTGTCCATTGCTATCAAATCTATTACCATGAAGAAAATCCAACCTAGCCATAAGACCAATTCATCAATTGAAAATATGTTCCATGTTGCTGAAAAACAATTTTATTGTAACCAAAGTTTATCCTTTATTCACTACCCTTACATGGCATTCATCAAAAATGTCTCCAAGTTAAAAAATCATTCACAACTTTAAGCAAATTCTTCAATCATACAACCAACTTTTCTTATTTAATAAATAACTTTTAGAATATTTAAAGAGCAAGTATATCTAGTTTTTCTACCTATAGGCACTTAACACTGTTTGTTTCCTTAATATTTACAAGTCTTTATTGCAAAAATTCCAAAGCATACTAGGAAAGTAGATTGATCATCTTATTTGTCCTAGCTAGCAAAATCATTTTTATTTAATAAATTTATTTGTTCAATCTCATCAAAATTAATTCTAGGATCTACAAGCAGGGAAGTTAGAAGCACTTCTAAACAAAACTTAAATTTTCAAAAAATACAACTCTCTGACTTCGAAGTCCAAATGATGTACCTATAGGCATATTTTAAAGCCTGTGTTATCATACATATGCGCGCACACCTAAACAAGCAGATCCAACATGATAACCTAGTAGTACAGTCCTTTAAGCAACCAAACAACTTCAGCCCCTCCAACTATCTTGGAATTTCTTGTAGATACAAAAATAGCATTGGTGGACAGTTAAACTAAGACATAACCTTGACAGCAACAGACATGTGAACAAGCACGTGCACTGAAAAAACTGGGCTTGAATGGAACTGAACAAGACTTGGCAAACAATTACAAAGGTCAGAGGCTTTGTTACTGAGAAAGTAAAAAGGAGGTTACAGATGTTCATGCATGTTATTGTTTTCAACTTCAAAGTTAAAAATATACCTTATTCCCTTAAAAGTTGCAATTATAAATATTTACACTTATTAATTGTCTTTAATCTTTAAACTAGTATTTTTTTTTTTTCACATATAATTTTGGAACATTATTTTAGTTTTAGCCTAAAAAATTTTTAAAAAACAACGCCCAATTAGTATACATTAAAAAATGTTCAACCTAAATAAAATTACCACCTTTTATGCTTTAAACCTCCAATAATTACTAAGAAAATAAAAACCAAAATTACTTGAGGATAAATTGAGTTTGAGCGGCATAAATATCAACACCAATTTGATTTGCAGCATCATATAGTTTTCCAGCACGCTCTTAATGGAACCAGAGAGAATAAGGCCTAGTCATGCTATCAAACAAGTACAAGTAACAAAATTTAGTTAACCACTTACGTAGTTTTTTAAATAAATTACTCTCTACTCTTTGGTGGATGCACTCACCTCCAATGCATTCACCATGGTGGAGTGCAAAAAACACAACTCTTAATAAATTACCAATGATAATACACTAATGCTCCATTTGGATGAGTAGATAGATTCAAATTGCATGAGAGTTAATTATTGGAGGTAGACAAATAATTTTGAAGTACATGATTAAGGGGTGGTTTGGATATGGTTTATTTTTTGGTTTTTTGACTTTTTACGGAAAGATGTGGAAAAAAAAAAAAGAAGATAATGTGACACAAATAAGCCAACAAATTTTTTATTTGGCTTGTTGCCAAACAGGAAGTAAGTATAGAAGATGTGTTTTATTAAAATTCTTGTACAGATAGAATCATTCTTTATTCTAATTAATAATATTTATCTTGTTAGTCACAATCCATCAATCCAAAGCTTTCAAATCCATTCTTGAAATCCAGATCTAAAATACTAGATTGAATACAACCAGTTAGTCCCCATTGAATGGTGCTCTGCCAGGGATATATATATATATATATATATAAGTTCAAAACACAATTCAAGTTATAGAATCAAGAGATGCCATGAAAATTTGCACACAAATTTAATAGAGGATGAGCAAAGAATTGTCAATGGGGAGATTTAGGCATAATCATTATCTAATTACAGTAAGCAAACACAATACACACAACATTCATAATTAAATCATGTCATACAATTACTCTGGGCTCTAAGGTTTATCCTCGTACGATTTGAACTTAAAAAATTCAAGCAAAAGTAAGAACACGAAACATACATTGCAGATTTTAATAAGCAGGTAATTAATATACATTATTTTGTGCAGTAATGTTCAAACGTTTCTTTTC